TTCTATCTTCCACCTGCCTTAGCTCCTTTCATCAACAAGATCACGCTCCTGGTGTACAACTTTCTTGTGTCAAAAAACTGGTGAGATCCCTCTAGCCCAGTCAGTTTCTTTCGATGTGAGTTATACTCACAAGAAATTAAAATATCCTAGACACACTGAAGAGTAGGTATGCAGACATTCCACTGCTTTTTTTTCTTTAGATCCCATCATTCCTTTCTAACTTTCTTCCCACTTTCTTCCCCCCCCCCGGATCAGATATAGGAGCAGGAGCAGGTTGCTAAGTCTGCTGTCTAAAGAAATGTTTAACTATAGAAGGAGAAGCCCATCTTCTATTTTCCTAAGATGACATTTCCAATAATTAAATATATATATACTTGATTAAATATATGTATGGATTATATTACATTAAAATAGATTATTAAATATATATTAAAATTTTCATATGTATGTGTATTGAATACTTGATATTGGTTATCGGCTACTGACTACTTGAAATATGGTTAGTATGGCTAAGAGAATACATTTTTACTTTAATTAATTTCTATTTAAATTTAGGTAGGCATATGTACCTTGCATAGTAGCATTTTATCTGTTCATCTCAGAGCATACCTAATAAATGACTTAACTATTGAAGAGCTCTTTGTAGGCATTTTTTTCTATCCAAAATCTGGGTTAGTATCATTTCTGGTTTATTGTGTTGGTATCTATTGGCTAAAGTATTAGACTGCACTTAAGAACTTATTTATCCATATGTACCTTTTCACCCATACGTATCCATATGTAACCTGCAGAAGGAGATGGTGAGTGTTAGTTGACATTTCCTTGTAGCAAGGCCTGGGGAGAAGTATCTGGATCCAAATGTGATATCTTTGGGTTGAGAAACCCCTCTGTCTATTCTAGGGCAAGAAAAACATATTAGTTATGGTTTTTTCAAAGTCTGTGTATTATAATGGTAACATATAAATCAGTGGGGCTATTTCTTTTTTTTTTTTAAATGCCTATTCTGTTACAACAGAAAAGACTGTTAAACTTATGTTCCAGGATTAGAGATTTTAATTGACCTGAGTTAATTTTTAATTCACCTTAATTAATTAATCTGCATTAATATACAAAAGTGACCCAGAAGCTACATAATCTGCTAAAGATATCTTAGAGCAATTTGAATATGTCATCTAAGAAAGCATGGTTAAAAACAATTATGAAATATTTTAAAAATCTGTTTTATTTTATATTTTCCGATTAAAAACTGATTACCCATTTCTACAGTTGGCTGTCTTCAGTTTTGCCTTAGCTACGTGGAAGCTGTGTGTGGAAACTTCATTGATCTCACTGCTTTCTTCTTTTTAAATTCTTTTGTGCTTCTTCTTACTGTTCTCTGCATTTTCTTTTAAGTTGCTTGGAATGTCCATTCTTATATTCATTCTCACTGAGAGTTTATCTTATATTCTGCTGAGATACTTAAAGCAAAGCACTTAGAATCACAATGCAGAAAGAGGCCTTGCAAAAATAATCCAGTGTCCTCTCTACCTGCCTTTCATCTATCAAAAATGTAATTTGCTAGGGTATTACGTTTTTTTCCGTCATTATGCTGTCACAAAAAAGACGATCTTTCATTTCCATGTGCGTTGAAGAATTAAACATAGTCTGTGCCCTCTTCCTAAAGATCATTTAATGGGTCTGGAATGACAATTTCCTTTTAGTCTCCTTTTTTATTTTTGAGTGGAAATCTGATGTTTTCTTTTTTAAGTATCACTAAAATCCTTCAATTGAACAGAGTTTGTACTGAGAAAATCATAGAGCTAAGAAAATGTACTCACTCTACCAAGAAGCCTATATTTTAAGTGATTTCACCCACAAGTATTGTTCATAGTATGAATCGATAAAAGTGGTGATGAGTCATTATTAACGAACAATGACAGTTTTCTGTTGTTTTCCTCTGTACTGTATATTTTGAAGCATGTAATCTCTAGCTGGGGTTTTAAAATTAATCTGAAATATTTTAGTTCCCTTTCAGGCTTATTCTTCCTCATGTTCTGGAAGTTTAAAGAGCTACATGAGGGGCGGCTGGGTGGCTCAGTCGGTTAAGCATCTGTCTTCAGCTCAGGTCATGATCCCAGGGTCCTGGGATCCAGCTCCGAGTCAGGCTCCCTGCTCAGTGGGAAGCCTGCTTCTCCCTCTCCCTCTCCCTGCCATTCTGCCTACTTGTGGTCTTTCTCTCTGCCAAACAAATAAATTAAAAACAAAACAAAACATACGAAGAACTAGATGGAATACCAGCAGCCCCAAGTTATAAAATAGGGTACATAATAACTAAGGAAATACTCATAGTTTGCAAATATACATTTATTAAGTTATCTATTGAATATCTTCATCAATAGCAATGATCTACATTGGACTCACTAATGTGATTCTTCTTTTGTCTTATCTCAGATGAACGTGATTTCTGTTGCTCATGAAATATTTCAGTGTGGTTCATGCCCTAATGCAAAAGTTAATACTTTTCTAGTATTATATATTTGTCTCATGATTGGTTAAGGAAATATTGATATCAGGAAACCAGGATAGATCACTCATATCTAAAACTTTCTATACTATATATGGGAAAAGTATGTCCTATAAATAAAAATGCCCCCAAGAATCATTTATTTCTCAGCATAGACAATGTTCAACCCTTATTATCATGTAATAAAGAGATGTTCAGTGTTTGTTGATTTATCAGATGAACTGAAAAAAATCTAATTAAATAAGTCTGGTACGTTGCACTTAATTGCTTATAACTGGCCATAAACATACTTACAAATGGAACTAACAAACCTATGTTTTTTTTAATTAATTGGCTTTCATAAAATTCATTCTGTAAATCTAGCTAAAACTAGCTTAATTATATGGTATTTATTGGCTTCAATTCATAGTCAAAAATAAATGGCAAACAATTAAAGCAAATCATCTCAGAAGTCATCCGCCTAAGTTAAATTATAAAGCCTTCTATAAATCATATGACCTACTTGTTTAAGAAATCTAATTGTTGGCTAGCAGACTGAATTATATTACCATGTATTGTATAGGTCTAGAGACCTATACTTTTGCATACTAAAACTATTTTTAACAAATCTTATTTACTTTTCTAGCTAAAATATATATATGTATATATATATACACCATGTAATAAAATCTTTACTTGAGGAAAACCAAACTATGTAAATATTATTATGTTTTTCTAAGTGTCGTTTGTTTTTTAATTGCGAAGGATAAAATTAAATATTGTTATAAAATTATATAATCACTGTTTTTCAAAATAACTCAAGTTTTCCATTGAATTCTTGCTAGCATGGCAAATCTGCTAGGTTGGAAGTTTCCAAGACAGGGGACTTGGGGGTGGATAGAGACTCCAGGCAGGTTTAGCTATGTGTTAGAGGGGGAGGTGTGTCCTGCCAGGTCTAACATAATGTCTGAATTGTAAGAATGATAAATATTAGGCCAGAAATGGGAAGTCAGATAAAATTTAGAAAGGAGAACTGAGTAAGTGTTACTAAACATGCCACTTTATTGTAGAAACTTTCAATCTACTAGTAGGTTTTTCTGCTTTATTTTGTTTGCATCATTTCTATATAAATCTCTCTGAGATATGATAGGTTTTCTTCTTGAAATGGTTTACTTCTTCTTGTCTACCTTGTGAACCCTTTATATTCACTCTTCAACAAGTATTTGCAAATTAGTAAATGAATTCTTTATATTTTATTTGGTGGGACAGGGGAAATAAAATAAACTATGTGAAAATATTTTTCATAAGAAACTAAAAACCATAATCCAGTATTATTGCAGGTATTCATTAATCGTGTCATTTGATAAACACTTAAAAGGCTGGATCTGCCTACACATTTGATAGACTATAAAAATACTGATATACAATACATAGCATTTAAGACTAACTGGGAAAACACAAATGGTTATGTACAAAACACAATAGATGAAATCCATGGTGACATCTCTACAATATACTCTGTGAAATTTAGATAAAAATACACTTAATTCTGGAGCCAGCATAAACAGCCTAAAGGAATGTTGTTGACAGGGAAGAAAGAAGTAAGAACAAATATTTATGAAGCTCCTCATAAGAATCAGACCTGAAGGTGGATGCTTTACAGACATTATCTCCTTTAATCCTCATAACCATGCTTCAAATCCCATTGTGTGCTAGAACATCCTTTTGCTGGCTCACAATAGCTATTTATTAGATACTGTCCCAACTCTGTGTTCAGTGACTTCACATTTGTATCCTTAAATCAACCATTGTGGGAATATTTACCCATGGGTATCGGCAAAATCTACAAATCAGGGCTTCCCCACTATGGGAACAAGGCTGTTAAACAGTTACCAGCACACCACTGATAGGCGTTAAGTAGGATTGCATAATATTTAGGTTCTAATATCCATTCGAATTCTAAAAACCCTATCATGTAGCAGAGAGCAAATTATCTAATAAATCTTATTGAATTAACTTCCTTAATTTTAGTGAAGGATTTAGATATTTATAACATTTTTAGGTTGTACATTAAAGTGTTTTTAGGGGTGCCTGGGTGACTCAGTTGGTTAAGCATCCAACTCTTGATTTCAGCTCAGGTCATGATCTTAGGGTCTGGGGTCAAGCCCTGAGTCAGGCTCCACACTGAGCACGGATTCTGCTTGGAATTCTCCCTCTCCCTCTCCTTCTGCCCCTCCCCTTGCTCATGCTCTCTCTCTCTCTCCCTCTAAAATAAAATTTAAAAAAATCTTAAAAAACGTTTTTAGTTAAAAATGTTAACTTTTACGTACATAATTGATTTTTGAACTGAAAAGATATTTGTGTTTTTGTAGTGGGCGATGTTTCTTAATTTCCCAATGAGGAATATTTTATTATTTAAATGGTAAATGTTATTTATGAAGATTTATTTAAAGCTAAGATTTATTTAACACAACCTCTGATCTTATCTTTGACTATTCTCTGTGTTGGTATTTTGCAGTGAGGCCCACAGTAATTGAAACTGATGTTTATGTAAACAGCATTGGACCAGTTGATCCCATAAATATGGTGAGTGATGAATATTAAAAATAATTGTCTGCCATAGAGTTCTTGGGTATATACCCCAATACTAGAATGGATATGTGATGAATTCTGATAGCTTATCCTGAAAGAGTTCAGGGCAACTGTGAAATGACTGTGTGCCAGGTTCAGGGATAGCACTAAAATATCCCATATCTAAGAATGTGTAACCTCTTACTCCAATGTGCTGCGTTGGTAGGAACTATGCTAGGGCATGAAAAATTATCACCTATCCATCACGCGTAGATCCCTGAAGAAATCTGGAGAGAGATAACCAAAAAGACTGAGGGGAAAATAGAGAAGGAAAAGGACTTGCTGGTAGAGTGGGGCATGCACAAGATCATGGAGGAATGCAACAACCTGATAAGATCAGGGGAACTTCCAGGGGTTTGATTAACACTGGAACATAAAGTGCAAGTAAGAGAGTGAGGCTGACAGAATGTCTATGGTCCTCATTAAGGAGGGTCTTCTCAGCCATAATAGGAAGTGTGTGTTATATGAATTGTATTCCCTTAGATCAGAGAAATGATGGAAACTTTTCATCAGGAGGGTATCATAGGTGAATTTATATTTTTAATAGATCACTTTCCAACAGTGTAGAAGACGGACAAGACCATTAAGAGGGTTAGAGACACGAGTTAAGAGGTCGCTGTAGTCTGGGCAATAGATCTTCTATTCTGAGGTAATCCCAAATTCATATTCTGAGATACTGGAGTTTAGGGCTTCAATATACAAATTTTAGGGGGATACCAGTCAGCCCATAACACCATCCAAAGATAATTCTTAAAACTTTGCTGATTTTCTCTCTTACCTCATTTTTTTCATTAGTACAACAGTCAAATCATCCCTTTCTTATAGGTCTTAAACCCCTTTTTTATCTGAATAGTCATCATGCCTAATAGTTGCCTGTGTCTGATGATTCCTACAGTATTACTGTCAGCCCCGTTTTATCTCTTAATATGACATTCACATGATTGTCATTAACTTTCACAGCTGCCTGCATTGACTACTGTACTGACAACATTTGGGCCACAGCATAGCTGACATCTTTGTCTCCTTATTGCAAAGGAATAGGAATTGGCTGTGGAAATAAGTTGAATTTGAGAATCTGAAATGAGGAGCTCTCAGGAGAAAGTTAGAGCTGGAGCAAGTATTTGTCAGAAATTAGCTAAACCTCTTAAGAGATGGGAACAATAGTCTTAAAGTAAAGAGAAGAAAAAAGGAATAAATATCAGACCTTAAGGAACACATACATATAAGGACCTGAGGGATGAAGCTGAGATGGTACAAGAATCAACAAGGTTGGCAAGAAAATGGAGGCAAAACAGTGGCAAAGAAACCAAGGAAAAGGAAAGTTCCAATACGTTTTTGAGTACTGGCTCTGTCCCAATTGGATTCCTAAACAAACCGCTGATTTTTGTAAAGATAAAGCAATCTCTATGCCTGTGTGTATTAATTTAACATTATGCAAATATGAAATTTTATAAAGTAATAGATTACTAAAATGCTAATTTTCTTCTTAGGAGAATCTTACAATGTTTAGTTTCCAATTAACCAGTGCTTAAAGAAGACAAGCCCATTAGAGCTTATGGGCATCTACATTTTCTGAATTGTATATGTTTATGTTTAGTCTTGGGTTCTTGTTTTTAATTTGAATGAATTCATTTTTAAAAAATGTGGTCATTAAAATAGAGAGAAATAGTATTCAAGGCTGTATTTATATTCCAGAGATACTTTGACAAGAATGGCTACTGAGAAACTTCTATGATGATCTTCCTGTATAAAAGTTTCATGGTATTAAAGATTTAGTTTTCCCAGGAGGGCAAAGTACATACTTATAACCTTGGCCAATGATAGTTTTTTAAAAAGCTAATTAAATGAAATTGCTATTAAAACTGGTGATACTAAAGCACATACAAGAAAAGAAGACATAGAATACTTGATAGTGTTTATTAAAAGAGAAACATTGTCGTACTGGGGATTAATAAGGAGCAGTTTACATAGAAGACTGTTTTAACTAAACAATGCAGGAAAATTAGAATTCAGTTTTCATAAAATGAACAACATTGTTTTGCATATGAGTGTAATCAAGCAAGCAGATTTGAGTGTAATTAAGCAACCAAGAGGATAGGTTTCCCCTTCCCTCCTTAACAATTCATACAATTTAAGTTACTGGTAAGGAACAAAATTAATATATTAGCTTAATGGTTTTATTTTTTTTTATTAGCCAAAATTTGGCTTCATGAAAAATGGTTATTTATTTTTAAGACTGGCTACATAAAATAATATCTCTTTAGATTGCTGGTAAGACCTAAAACAACATTATTCTATTATAAGATATGCTTTTCCTTACCTTTTTTCAGGGTTAGATTAATGACTTCAATCATGGTATCACTATAAAAAAATAGGGTATTCAATAATTGAACATTGAACAAATGTATAATTTAGTCAATAAATAGATTAATTCTATAGTTTACATTTTGAGAATTTAAATTCAAAATGAGTAACAGATGCACTAATGAGGACTGAACAAGAATAAAGTAATTTGGATAGAGGCTGTTCAACTATGTGTGCTGTAGAGTTATGTATGAGCACTGAGAAATGTATAGAATTGCTGAATAACTCTCGTATACACCCGAAACTAATATAACACTGTATCTTAACTATACTGGAATTAAAATTTTTAAAAAGTTAATAAAAAACAATCTTAAATATAAACAGAACAAAAATATACAATCAGAACTGAAGGCAAAAAAAAAATGTTAATAGAGGTTATTAGCCTGGAATTAAAATGTTTTTTAACTTCCTAATTTTGGGGGCTTTGGAGAAATTATGTGATTTTACTCTTTCGGATAAGTGTCTTAGGATAATAAAACAATAGCAGCTTATCCTCTGACTAGCTAATATAGCGTTTAAAGGGCATAATAATTCTCTGAATCAAGTCAAAATCAATAAGACATCTAGGGAATCCAAGATGAAATTATGGGCAACTAAGGAGGCTAAACACAGGGGAATAAGGGGGCACCTGGGTGGCTCAGTCGGTTAAGAGTCTGATTTCGGCTCAGGTCATGATCTTGGGATCCTGGGATTGAGCCCTAAGGCAGGCTTCCTGATAGGCGGGGAGTCTGCTTGTCCCTCTTCCTCTGCCCTCCCTCCCAGCTCGTGCTCACTCTCTCTGTCCCTCTGTCTCTCTCAAATAAATAAATAAAAATCCTTATATATAAAAAACACAAGGGGAATAAGTACAGAAACAGTGATACATGAAAATTCCTGGTATAGCTTTGAGGGAAAGGCCAAGCAGGCTCTGCACAAGGTGGTAGAAATACCACCAGGCCATTGGGTAGGCATACACCATTACCTCCCTGGAAGACACACTGACCATTGTCACTGCGGACCACTCCCATGTCTTCATCTTTGGCAGGTACACCCCCCTGGCAACTCTATCTTTGGCCCCCATGGTAAGTGATACAGACAAGAAATCCTTCACTGCCATTCTATATGGCAATGGGCCTGGCTCCAAGGTGGTAGGCCATGAGCGAGAGAATGTCTCCATGGTGGACTACGCTCACAGCAATTACCAGGTGCAGTCTCCCATGCCCATGTGCCCTGAGACCTATGACAGAGAGGACGTAGCCATCTTTGCCAAGGGTCCCATGGCGCACCTGCTGCATGGCATCCAGGGCAGAACTACATTCCCCCACGTGATGGCTTACATGGCCTACATCAGTGCCAACCATGACCACTGTGCCTTGGCCAGCTTAGCAGGCGGTGCGTCCCCAGGCCCCCTGTTTGTTCAGCTAGCCCTGCTCCCCTTGGGCATCCTTTTCCGAGGGTCCAGGGCCTGGGCACCCACCAACCTGTGGCAGATGTCCAGCCTTCCTCTTTCAGCACTGCCCACAGCCTGGGAGCCCACACCTCAATGGCCAGGTGGGTGGGGGTTTTCATAGTCTCTACAGCTGCCAGAAATAGGAAGACCCAGGAAACCAAAGACAGCTGCCTGCCTCACTCTTCTCTGGAATCTTCCACTGAGGCCGGACCAGTGCCTGGCCTCCAACCTCTGCTCCCTCCCTGCTGTCCTTTTGGCCAACACAGTAGGTTTCTCATGGGTAGGTGGAGAACACAGACTGCAGAAATTCCCAAAGCATCTTATTTTTCTTGCAAACATATTTTCCAAACCTGGAGGCCCTGGAGCTTCCATGGAACATTCCGGATCTAACCTTTCCACTCCCTTCTCCTCTGGAACCACCAGGCCCCACATGCTCATGTCCCTACCTGCAGAGGAGACCAAATCCTTCTCTGCAGGATGGGGGTTTGCTCCCTCACTCATTCCAAGGCCTTCCAGGCCTCCCATAAAGTGAACTCCTTGGAATGGCCATCCCCAGGAGGGCAGGGCTGGGAAGAGCAGCCTGGAGAGACAGACACTTCCCAGCTCTCAATATGCATGCCCACTCCTCTCTGAAGTGAGACTCCTGTTTGGAAGGCCAAATTTCTTTTTCTCTTTTTGGTGTTGGTTAAAAGGGAACACAAAACATTTAAACAGAACTTCCCCCCGCCAAAAAAAAAACAAACAAAAAACCCTTTCTGAATATTTCTGGCAATAAAAAATAAGAAAATTACAGGTATAATTTGGACATGGGTTTACTTATAGAAACAGGTACACCTTTATTTAGTCCAATATTAAGAGATTACTGATATGAGCACTTGGAAAGCATGGGCCCAGAGAGAGAAGCAAACTCAACGACATAGATGCATCTAGAGGGTGTTATTCTAAGCAAAATACGTCAGAGAAAGATAAATACCATGTGATTTCACTCATATGTGGAATTGAAGAAACAAAACCAATGAGCAAAGGGGGGAGAAAAGGAGAGGTAGAGAGCGAAAGGCAAACCAAGACACAGACTCTTAGCTGTAGAGAACAAACTGATGGTTATCAGAGAGGAGGGGGAGGGAGGATGGGTGAAATAGGTGACCGGCACCAGGTGTTGTAC